TGTTTTTTTTTGTTTTTCTGTGTAGAGATGAGAAATATAGTCTTCCAGAGAAAGTAAAAATTGCAAGGAAGACGGTGTTTCTGTTCACATATACACAGGAGCTCGTTCGTTGTTGCTGGCTTTAAATGCCTTTTCAGAAAGCTTTACCCAAGTTCACCTGTAGTTGTGACTTGGCACAGGGCTGAAGGATGAAGTTTACAGTTGGTGTTAAGAAGAGTAGAGTAAATAATGTTTCTCCCTTTGGCAGCACATGGTAATGAGAAGCCAAGCTGCAGCCATAAGCTGCTGCTGGTGGTAGAGCGGCTAACTTGTCATATGAGATTTTAGAAGAGAGAAGTACATCAGATGAGAAAGCTGGAAGTTGTCCCGAACTGATAACACAGCATACACTGTGAGCAACAGGGGGGTGGGAAACAACGACTTAGGGTGCAGCTGAAAGTAAGAATGACTCCACAGCAAATAGAAAAAGAATAAACCTACATTTCTCAAGGGAAGAAAAAGATGTAACACAGACACATCAAAAGAAAAGTGAATTCTAGACTGTGTGCATTGATCTTCTGGAGATACTTAAATAGGCTGTCTCATTCCTCACTTTCTTCCTTTTTTTTTTTTTTTTTTTCTTTAAGAGCAGAAAAAGTTTTTAGAAGTGTAAATGATACAGATGGTTTAATTTTTGCTATGATTGTAGCTGTGTTGGGTTTGTTGAGACAAAGCTGTGCGGAATGGTTTCACAGGTGCAGTGAGACATTCATTGTCAATCATTTGTGGAAGTACAGTCCTGAAGCTGAATAGGGCTTGAAGGCAGTCAGGCTGCAGCAGTGGTTTTATTTTTATTTTAATTTGTGTTTATTTAACTGCAATAAGGAAATTGGAACACTATATTGTATTGGGATACTCCTTTAGAAAGAACCAGCAATGATTATTCTTACTGACAGTGGAGAAAAGGAAAGAAGGTTATTGCCATCCTAAAATAAGTTTGCTTTGTGGTAGAGAAATCCATATCTTCCTCATGGAGTTCCTAGTGAGACTGAATTAAAGGAGGAAATTTCTGGCAGAAGGACAGATAAAAATAGGCTTTGATTTGCAACAGGATGTAATGATCAATCTAACAAAAAGCATGCACTTGCAAGCATTAGTTTGTTATGTTTGTAAGTAAAAACTTCAGAGCTGAGCAAAACCAAGTGGGAGACTGCATGTAACTGTTCTGAACCATGTTTTATCACAGTTAGTCAGGCAGACAACTGCATTTAAGTGGACTACTGTAAATGGAAGTCATGGTTTTTTTTTTTTCTAACCATCAAATATGATAAGATTTGATGATAGAATTAGGCTTTGCATGGCACTGTCAAGAAACAGAGCAGCCTCACTGATAGAAAAAATGTAGCAGCTTCCAAATGAATTTTCATTGACTTATGAAGCCCTGTTAATCTAGAAGATCCTAATTTAAAGATCCCATAGCAATTAGCTCCATAGAGACTTCTATTGAAGGTTATATGCATTGTTAGCTGAATATTTGCAGTAGTCTCTGTTACCCATAAATTATTATGATTATTTTAGAGGAGAAAATAAGTACAGAGAAGTAAAATTCCTGTGTTATCTAGCTTTTCTGCCAGTAGAAACCAAAGCAGAACTGAGTCCTGAGAGTGGTTTTTTCCTGTTTTAACCACCTGCTGCTTCCTTCCTGCTCGTCTACTTCTGAACTAGACATGTGACATTTCAAGTTTCCGAAATAGCAAGCCCAGATTTCACAATTTCGATATTGTGGTGATATTACAGTTGAACAGTTGGTGATATTAACTGATGCATTAGATCAGACAGATATCCACTTTTGAAAAACTGGATTTGGGACTGTACCTTGGAATGCATCAAGTCTCATTAGGTTAATGATTTCTGTCATGTCTAATTAAGAGAAAACAGAAAACCTTTAGGATTCCCCCCTCTCCCTCCAAATCAATGTAAAGCAAAGTGAAAAATGTCTATAGTTCTCAAAGCCACACCAAAGGAACCAAGCAGACGTGACCTTATGAATATGTTTCAGTTCTTTAAGAAGTTTTGAACCCAGCAACCGGAACTTCTGTTTTCTTGTTTGCTTAAAAAAAAAAAAAAAAAAAGCAACAGAAAGGAGTCGGTAATTTTTCAATAGGGAAACCAGAGAGGATTCAATTGCCCTGACTCTCTCTATTTATAGAGAGAGTGGTGAGGTGCTGAAACAGGCTGCCCAGGGAGGTTGTGGATGCCCTGTCCCTGGAGGTGTTCAAGGCCAGATTGGATGGGGCCCTGGGCAGCCTGGTCTAGTATTAGGTGGGATGGTTGGTGGCCCTGCGTGTGGCAGGGGGGTTGGAGATCCTTCATGATCCTTGAGGTCCCTTCCAACCCTGGCAATTCTGTGATTCTGTGACTGTTTATTAGCTGGGTTTCTCCAATGTGTTCTATCAAAATGATGAATCACTTCTAATTTTTCTTATGAAAAGAGCACTAACCAAAAGTAGATGTCTAGAGAAGCTTATTAAGTTATGGCAAGTACACACTGATATATTTCCCTGAATACTCTCTCATCCTCCACTAGTTTGTAGTCTGGTGACTTAGTGTGCCAGAAGTAATTTCTGTGTATTAACAGCCATTTATGGATTTCTTTCATGAATATGCCTCTATCAGCACACCTGTAGGAAGTCAAGCTCCATCAGTTTCACTTCTACTGTCCTCAGGAAAATTAATCTTTTAAATTTTGATCATTGTTGCTGTGCTTCTGACGCTGATTCTGGGTATTATAAGTATCCTTATTTCCACCCTTTAAGAATCCCTCCATTGAAAGGGTTGCATCAGTAGCTCTTTCTTTCTACGAGTGATGAACTTCAGGTTTCTGACAGGAGTGAGAGTTTATTCAGGTGGGTTTGAATTGTGTGAGTATTCAGACATTTCCATATCAGACTGTGACAAGCACAGTAATCCTCACAGCTAATCATGTCATCTGGGTGTTTGATAGCATGATCTAACAGGGAAAGGCAAAAGATATAGCCAGATGCTTACAGCTGAAGGCACCCTTGAAGACCTCCTGTAAATATGTGAGGTGTCTCATTCCCGGAAGCAGCAGGCACACAGAAAGCTCAGTGCCTGCACATTGTCAGTGAATGAGTTGTGTTACCTTCCTGCTGAGCTGAGTGCGGGAATGTGGTGCCATTCTGTGCAAGCACTTGAGCCTTCCTGCAGCCTCTTAAGCTCTGTGTTTCCTGGTAGCAGCATCACCTCAGGGGAAGTTAACACAATGACCTGAAGATATTTCAAAACAGTGCAGTCAGGAAATGTGGCCCCCAGGAGTATAAAATAATTCTTGAAATGTCAAGGGAGACATTGGAATCTTCAATGGGTGACAAATCTGTTGTTTTCTCCCCACATGTACCCTCTACCCATGAAACTAGGGTATAAATTTAAAGATAAAAGGCCTGTTATTCTTTCACGTTTTCCTTGTGTGGCTTGTGATCTCAACAGTCCTATGTATGTTGTCTTGAAGACACATATTCCAGCATATATTCCTGCTCTCAGATAAACTTTAAAAAACCCTTTGCATACAGTGCATTTTCCATTCTCCTGCCTGATGTCCTATTGATATGAACTCAGCAGTTGACACCATTACACAATATCCAGTTTTTAAAGCCATAACCTTAAGAACTAGAGAGATTAGTAAGAAACTGGCCAAATTTGCCCAAAGAAACAGAATTCTTGACACAGAAGACAGAAATCAGCAGGTCTTCTTGTAGGACATCATATCACAGGAAGTGGCAAGCCACAGGAGCCAAGGCATTAAATGCTTGATTTCACATCATTGTATCACTTTCATTCCCTATGATTTGGGAACAAGAAACTGGACACTTGTAATCACCCATGATCTTAGAGCTATTCCTTGCTTTCTGTGTGAGAACTGGTAACTCTGCAGAGAAAGAGATAATGGTCCGTGTAAAGACGCTGATTGGGCCTCTGTAAACTGCTTTTAATTCATAGCCATGTATAATTTCAGAAATCACTTATAGCTTAGTATGCCTTCACCAGTAAAGCCAATTTCTAATGCAAATCTAACCTGAGAATAATTCCATTATTATGATAATCAATGATAGTATAATTTATGGATGCTTTATCAGCAGTTTTATAGATGGTATAGGGATAGCGTTATTCAAAATCTGCATGTCTTCCTCAGAAGTGATGAATTTTATCTACTCCTAACTACACTTTGCATTCAAGGATAATCAGCTCTTAAGGATTTTCTTGGTCAGTGGGTGTGAAATGCTTAATGTACATGCTGTGACTAACTCCGTTGAATATCTTTGACTTTATTGGTATAAGAAAACATAATTAGGTGTGGGCACTGCTAAAATGTCTGATACCTTGCTTTACCTTAATTCTGTACATTTCACCATAGTGGAATCCTTCCCAGCTGGACTGAACAAATTTGGGCATTGTACTATTCCAGTCTAAATTTACTTTATTCATACTTACAGCCATGGGGTAGGGACAAGTCATCCAAAACTAGTAGACTGGTGACTTTGTATTGTTTCCATGTCACATCTTAAAACACGTATATTTCTCTGCAGTGTATGCAAAGGTTCTAATATGTACAGTTTATGTGTGCATGTTTATTTACTGCTCTGGGGAATCTGCCGTCAGAACATCCCATCTGGAAACAGCTTGTTTTCCTATGAATATACTGTAGGGCAACTGGGCTTTCTGTAGGCATTCCTTGCCCTCCAGTCTCTTCCACATTCACCTATATGATCTACCACTTGCAACTTCCTGCTGTTCTATAGTTGGTTTCTTTTCTTACAATCAGTACACTGTTTTTTGGCTTTCCTGAACTCAGAGCTCTTTGGTCTCTGAGACACGGGATATCTTCTAATAAAAGGGAAATGTTATAGTTCAAAGCAGTTGTATTTAGCCAGCGCTAGAAATGCCAGTCACGTGAAGTTGCCGTAAGGGAGTCTGTGGGATCTCATGTTATTGTCTCTTTGCAGGGTATCATCGAAGCCTACAAGAGTGGTGTAACCATCCAGGGAAACACCACTAGCCTGGGCAGGTGGGACTTCAGTGGGTCCTTCTTCTTCTCCATCTCTGCAATAACAACCATTGGTAAGAGTTTCTTGCCGATTGAACGGCCTTATAGGTGGAAGCGAGGCAAGAATGAGGACATGTACTATTAGACACTGTTCGGCTCTTGGGGACTTCATGTTGCTAGTCTATGTCATAGCACCATATGGCTTCTCAATGGGTGAGCACATAAAAATTTATCTCAAGAAACAAGGAATGTTTTCTCAGTGCCAGTATAACTACCTCCATCTAGATGCAAGGATAATTAGCTCAGTACGTACCTCTATTAAGTTCCTCAGGTTTTTTGGGTTTGTTGTTGTTGTTGCAAAGTAGTATTGCTTCAAGGTGATGCAATACTCCCTATACCTCAGAATGGCAGGGACCTCTGGAGGTCACCCAGCTCAGCTCCTGCTCAAGCAGGGACGCATAGAGTGGGCTGCCCAGGGACATGACCAGGCAGTTTCTGAAGATCTTCGAGGAGGAGACTCAACAACCTCTTTCCTTGTACTTTCTCATCTCTTTCTCCAAGCTAGTTCTGTCTGAGAGGTACAAGGTGAATTGTGCATTTAAGTGAGCTTTCTCTCTCACAAAGAGAGAGAGAGAGAAGTATTTTGAAAAGCTTTTATTCTACTTGCATTGGATGAGAGCCTGTGTGTTTGGGTGGAAGTCCCACAGTTGGATAAATGAAACAGTTCAGTTAAGTTCCAGCCAATGAGTAATGCAAAGCTATGAAGAAATGATGGAAAGGGGAGAATGCAAACAATAAAATGGATTTATGCACAGTGTAACTTAATGCAGATACTATTAATTATTGTCAGTGCATATCTCCAGTCCCCAAAACATTAATAACTTTCTCAGACATCTTTTCTCACTATGTAACTCAGCATTATAATAATTGGGGGGGGGGGGGGGGGGGGGAAGAGAATGTGGTGTGGGGAGAGAATCATTCAACATATGTTAAAAAACAAACAAAACCTAATGTATCTCTTGAGTTACGTCACACCTGTCAGCTCTCTTCTGTTTCAAATGCGTTTTAGATTTGAAATTTTCTTTGTGCAACCAGGTGAAGCTTTATTTTGAATTTTCTCTGACAGTTCTTGAAGATGCATTGATTTCAGAACATTAAGCCTCAAAGCAAGAGCTGAGACAGAGATGGTCATGGGTTGTTTTTGGTGTTGTTTTTTTTTCCACTTAAAATTCCTGTGAACTAATTTCTGTCCAGGCCCCACCTAGACGCTTTCCTGTGCGACCTGCTGTAGGGAACCTGCTTTGGGAGGAGGATGGAACTCGATGATCTCCGGAGGTCCCTTCCAACCTTTACAGTCCTGTCATTCTGCGATCTGCTTTTTTGCACGTGTTTTGTTCTGTGTGATGCCTTACCACCAGGTACGGGCTGCACCAGATGATGGCAGTGGTGCGTCACCAAACGGGGCTGCACGGGCTGTGGCTTTTCCAGTGTGAAGCCGGGGCGCTTCGTTCCAGCCTCTGGCACAGAGCGATGTCCGATCAGAGCTGCTTTACTCCATCCTTAATCCCGATTCGTTTCTAAACTGTCAGAATTACTCTGTTTTACCACGTTTAAGTTAACATTCAGGAGAATCAAATTTGTCATGTTCAGATGTAAGGGTTTTTGTGATGCTGGCAGAGATCTAGACTAAACACCTGCTTATGTTTTACTGATGTAAAGCTGTGTTTTTAGGAGACTTGCTAATGACTTTGTGATTGCTCAAGTCACCTCTACAAAGAGAACTTGGAACTGTTAGGCCTTGGATTTTCTTGTTTAGGCTGTTATTGACAACAGGTTAGTACATTAACACTGTAGGTGATGATATGTTGTAGAAGTGAAAAGCACAGATTCTCAGAGCTTCACCTTGAATCTAAGTTAACTCTCTACTTTGCTCGTGCAAGTTTTTGAGGCAGTCACTAGTGCAACCTCACTGACTTGAACATCACTGCCTGGTGTGACTGTCCTTCTCAAAGAACTCAGTGAAGTTCAAAGGAGTGATGCTCCATATGGAAGGCACAGCTATGGTGGAAATAGCACGATGGAGTTGTTTTTATTTTATTTTATTATTTTATTTTTTGAGAAGGCTGTGGTGAGGCTTTCAGGCTATGTGTGGCAAGGATGAGCTTTTCCCAAGCTGCAGGTATGGAACCACTGAAAGCAGGTTCAGTTCTGCAGAATCAGTGGGTAGTAGTTCCAACAACTGTCTGACAAATGCTTTCTGGCAAATGGCTTCAGAAAGAATAAAGCTAAAATGGTAGTGGAGAAAAGAGATTTTGAAAACCTTAGGGAGGCAGAGTAAAGATTGTGGTGCAAAATCTGCAAGGTTCTACTCCATGTGTTCAAGTTGCTGCAGGTTTTGGTTGATTGGTGTTTTGGTTTTATTTTTGGGCAGCTTATTTTTCATGTTCTCTCTCTGCAACTGATGCTGTTTTTCCTCCCTGGCCTCTTATGTAGTGTAATGTCTTTGAGGCTTTTACATCAGCTGTTTTTTGGTTTGTTTGTTTGTTTTCCTTAAACTTCTCAAATAGCCCTACCAAAGCCATTATCTTTTACCTTATTCCCTTTGCATTGAGATGCTCTTTCCATTCTATCAGCTCCTGGTTCTGTTTCAAGCTCTTTGCCTCCTTCAGAAGGCTTGGTGTGTTTCTACGGAGTCCTCACCAGAACTTCTCTCTCAGCTACAGGAAGGGATGTTAGCTTCATGCTGGCTGGGGGTATCAGCTGCTTTCCTCACTGATACAGTCGATACCCTTATCATTCACGATGCAGTCTCTTCTATGTTGTCCCTTTGTTCCACTTAAATCAATCTCATCTATTTCCAATAGCAATTAAAAGCTGCCCATAAATTTTGCTTAGAAAAAAATGCAAGATTGTAACTTGCAGGCTGGACATGCTTGGTACTCTAATTCTGAAGACTCAAAGAAGAGATGTATGTACCAAAAGTTGTTGTTTAAAGGAAGGTTCTAAGTCCAGGTAATTATTGATCAATCTCATAAATTGAATGGAACTGCAACTCTGCCCATGGTAGGGAGTTGGAAATAGATAATATTTAAGGCCTCCTGTAACTTAAGCCGTTCTATGATTGTAATTTTTCATCACGTGGGATTGATAGTCCTGGCCTTCTGTCAGTTCCTTCTCACTGTTTTGGTATTCTTCATTGCCTCCTTCATTACTGTATTTACGTGTTATATCATCCCAAGTACTGTATGTTATCTCATTTTCAGTAGGAGATTTTTCTCTTTATCCTGAAGAATAACCTTGAGAGTAACAGTGAAAGTGATTAAGGAAAGAGAAGCTAATTTTCTGTTGGTTTTATCCCTCAAACATCCTTATCCTCTGCTTGCTCTCTTCCTGGTTATCTTGGACTACCAGTGCACAGAGGTCAAAGCAAGTTCAGAGTGGGGCACAAGATTAAAGTTTAACACCACAGGGTGGTGAGGTTGTTGTTGTTAGATGGAAGGGAAAGGACTTAAGATTGAGGTTGTTTGTGCTTGCATAAAAGAAGGAAGAATATTTTTCTCTCGTAGCCCAAGTATCTTCCATTATCTTTGGTGTGTGGATGCTGTTACATAGTGACTCTTCTGCTGGCAGTTTTTGTGAAAATGTATTTCTGTATTTTCCCTCAACTGCAATTTGGTGAGTTTGCAGATGTCTTTCGACTTGCAGAGGATGCTTTCACTCCCTCCTTTCCCTCCCCCCATTCTAAGTGCTTTTTGCTTAAGATACTATTTTATAGCTGAGCAGTGAGAACTGGGTCCAAGCAAGCCACCCATTGTCAGTAGCAAGAAGTAGCAGTTGCATTGTCCAAACTGGGGCACTGTCATTGGAATACTGTCATGGGAGTGAAGAGAGAGATTTTCACTAATTCTCTATTAATCACACCTCAATAACTTCCTCTTAACAAGTCCTTGGAACCTCTGAATCCCATATGAGATGAATGTGTACAAGTCCACAGGGCTGGGTGACATGCATCCCAGGGTCCTAAGGCTGATGTGGTTGCTGAGCTGCTGTCTGTCATATTTGAAAAGTTGTGTCTGTCAGGCAAAGTCCTTAGGGATTGGAAAAAGAGAAATATCACTTCTGTTTACAGGTAAGGGAGGAAGAATGATCTGGGGAACTACAGGCCAGTGAGCCTTACCTCTGTGCCTGGGAAGATCATGGAACAGATCCTCCTGGAAGGCATGTTAAGGTGTATAAGGGATGAGTGGGCGATCCAAGACAGCTAGCACAGCTTCACTAAGAAAATGTACCTGACCAATCTGGTGGCCTTCTATGAGGGTGTGACAGCATTGGTGGATTAAGCCAGCTGATGTCGTCTACCTGGACTTCTGCAGAGCCTTTTACATGGGCTCCCACCACATTCTTATCTCTAAATCAGAGAGAGATGGTTTTGAAGGGTGGGCTATTTGGCAGATAAGGAATTGATGGGAAGGTCACAGCTGGAGTGTTGTGGTCAGTGGCTCTATGTCCAGGTGAAGGTAGGTAATGGAGTCCATCTTGAATCTGGTACTCTGTAGCATCTTTATCAAAGACATAGATGATGGGATTGAGTGCACCCTCGTCAAGTTTGTTGATGATACCAAGCTGAGCAGTGCAGTTGATACAGCAGAAGAAAGGTGTGCTGTCTGGAGGGGCTTTGATAAACTTGAAAGGTAGGCCCTTTTGAGCACCAAAAGGTTTTGCACTTGGATCAAGGTAATCCCAGGTTTGTGTAAAAACTGGGAGACGAACTCCTTGAAAGTAGGGATTTGGGTTGATGAAAAACTTAATATTTGCCAGCAGTGTGTGCTTGCAGCTTGGAAGACCAATGGTATCCTGGGTTCCATCAGGTGAGAGATGGCCAGCATGGCAAGGGAGATGATTACTCCCTCTATTCTGCCTTCCTGAGGACCCACCCGGAGTACTGCGTCCAAGTCTGGGGCTCCCAACACAGGAAGGTTGAGGAGCTTTTGGAGAGGGTCCAGAGGAGGGCTGCAGAACCTCTCCTATGAAGATAGGCTGAAGGAGCTGGGCATGTTCAGCCTAGAAAAAAGAAAGCTGTGATGATACCTCATTGCAACTTCCCAATATTTAAAAGGAGTTTATAAACATGAGGGAAATCAACTTTTCACACAGATAGATAGTGATAGGGTAAGGGGGAGTGGTTTTAAACCACTGGGAGAAGGGAGATTAAGTTTAGATCACCAGGGAGAAGTTTTTTTACTGAGAGTGGTGAGATGCTGGAACAGACTGCCCTGAAAGATGGTGGATTCCACATCCCTAGAGGTATTCAAGGCCAGGTTGAATGAGCTTCTGGGCAACCTGTTCTAGTACCAGATCTGGAGGTTTGTAGCCCTGCCTGTGACAGGGAGGCGGGAACCTGTTGATTCTTGAGGTCCTTTCCAACCCAAGTCATTATATGATTCTACATACAGAAATGTAGAGGAAAGCTAAGCTGGGCTTACTGAAGCTGTGTAATAAAGCACAGATGTGAATGTGGATCTGGTCATTTAGAAATGAAATCACTCATTTTGCATCTTCTAAGGACTGTAAGTTAGACTTCATTTCAAAATGAGCACACCTATACAGGATAATTCAGCTGCTTCTATGAAAATGCTTGTATCTTGACCTCTGTAGTTTTTGAGCATCCCAGTATATCCCTCGGGGCAGTCATGTACCAGGTGACATCTTAGTTTGTGAGGAATGTGACACTGCTGATGTTGTAGTTTGTTTTCATTTCTGAAGTTGATGCAGATCTTCTGATGTATAGCCTGCAGTAGTATCATTCAATTTACAGTAACTCTCATTTACCCATTCCTTTGTGAGGTGTCTAGGAAAAGAGATTCATACAGAATCATTGGATGACTTGGGTTGTAAGAATATGCAGTATATACGATGACGTGACATGAATACCTATTTTTCTAGGCCAAAGGCAAGGGTTGATCATTAGCCAGATATAAATTGCTCGCTATTTTACGGAGTCTAAATTTTCATGTGCTGCTCAATCAAACACTATATCCTGTATAAAAAGCTAATGGAATGTGGCATTTTTTAAATATATTTACAGCAGTTACTCACCAGATCTTTGAGAAATTGTCTTGAGCCACTGAGCCCAGGAGTGCCAGGAAAATCATATGCAAAGCAGGTCTGGTGTTGTGCTAGACATCTCAATACACATTGGACCTTCATATGTCATTGAATGTGCTGTTCTATATTAAATGTACAGCCTAACTGATGATGCTGTCCATTCAGCAGCACAGTGTGGGATCTCTAAAATCCTGAAGGCAGTTGTGCTTCACTGAGTGACTTCACTGAGCACCATTCTTCCTCTTTTTTCCTGATGTATTTTTTCCCTTTCTACAGAGATTAGATAGCCTGAAAGCTATGGTTAACAAACAAGCAAACAAATAAAACTGTCCAAGCCTTTCTATAGCTTTTCTTAAGTTGATATGGAAGGGAAAAAAGAAAAAGAAACTAAACCTGTGGAATGTCTGGCTGTAGTGTACGTGGCTTGTATTCAGACTTCAGCCTTACAGTAAATGTATCCCAGCTCTGTATCCTGGCTCTAGATGCATCTGAAAATCACCTTAAATAGCATGAAAGAGGAAAAATTGGAACCAATCCACTGAGATGTGGCACAGTCAGAGTGACACAAATCATGCACATTGCTCAAATTCACTTGCATGGCAACATGTAACAGATTTATTTGCCTGCATGTCTATCGTTTATCACACCTGGTAGTCTAGAAATGGTGAAAGCCAGCAGAAGTGACTCAGTAATTACATATAGTGGAGGGAAAAAGTGTATAAGCTTGTAGAGCTGCTCATAAGTGAAGAACTCTGTATTGGAGTTAAAGCTGCTCTACAGTCTTAATTTAGCCCCTTTGTTTGACTGTATTTCAAAACAACCCTTATTTATGTAACAGCATCCCATTCTTTCCCAGGGGCTCTGCACCTTCCCAAGCACAGACTGTTGGAGGCATTGCTTTGGAGATGCATTATGTGTTAAGATGTATGTTAAAATCCAAGTCCCATAAATCATTCAAGCCTAAAAGTATTAGAGATGAAGCCATCCAGATTGGAGAAGAAAAAAAAAAGTAGAATTTGTGGAGGTAGAAAGGAGGTGAAAATATTTACTGTAAGACAGTTTACTGCCAGACTCTTTTCTGGTTTGGTTTTGTTTATTTAGTGTATGTGCATAATTAACTGTTTGTGAAGTCATCTCTAGTGGGGTTTTTTTTGTCAGCATAGAGCTTGGTGCATTATGTCATCTGTTCACGATAGCATGTCGTTCTATGTAGCTGGTTGGTGATTTACTGCAGTCAGCATGGGGTGGAGATTAGTGAAAGAATGGGAACCCCATGCTTCCAACAGTGGATTTTTGTACCCACTTCTTTCCTGTGGGGAGCCCAGCCTCTGGACTTCTTCCTTCTTTTATCCTGGGGTTGCACCACTTCCAAGCACGGTAGCAATGTGTTACTGTGGGGAGCACCTCCAGGATTGTACTAAGCCAAAAAATTATGTGTGGCTGGGAGGATGTATTCATGGCAAAAATAGAAGTTTGGCCTTGTATATAGAGATACACAAATTATTAATGAGTAACAGTGATTTTTGTAATCTAGTGAAAGCTATAGGTCTCTAAGTAGCTAAGTCAGTGTTGAAGTTTGCATCACATGCTGGTCCTTTCTCTGAATTAAAAACACTCTCTGAAAGAAACTGAAGTTAGATTTGATTTGCTTGTCGCATAAACCACTTGAAGTTATGTAAGTGTAGGTTTGCAAGTTTACGGGATATTTTAAAAATCAAGTATGGAGAAAAAAAGAAATGTTGCAGCAGTGCTGCTGAAAATATGATGATCTGAGCAATGATACAAGTAAGGTTCTGCTTGGTGGGCAGCATCTTTTTTAGACCAATTGATGCTTTAAAAAAAAAAAAAGGAGGGGGGGGGCAAACTTTCAAATGTGCTTCTTTCTTCTTTATGTTTGAAACTGAAGAATTTTACTTGAGCTAAATATATAATTTTTTAAAATTTATTGACTCATGGCAAACAACTTGACAATAAGGAGTATTTGATGCTTGTGGAACAGGAGTATAGGCAAGGAGGCAGTGGTAAGTTCACTAGTCCAGTGGGACAAAGGTAATATTACTAAAACATTATTGTTTTGATTCAGAGACCTTCTGACAACGATACAGGATCATTTACCAGCAAACTTGATGCCAACAATGATTACAAAAATTGAACTAAACGGATGTTTTGCATTTACGTCAAATCCTAGCCAGGGCAGTGGGTAGGGAAGAGGAAATTCACTGGTAAATGGGAAAGGAACTAAGTAAAGTTGGCAGGGGACGAAATGTTATTTTCCAATCTACAATAGGATATGACAAACAATAGATGTAGTTTACAGTTATTTATAAAAACAAAAAAAAAAGATCCTTTTGGAACAGTAACCTTCTCTAACTTTAGTAGAAGATGGAGGTTCATTCTTCTAGAGGAGGAGAGCAAGCAAGGAGAATGTTTCAGATTTAACTCCCGATTCCTCCCTATCCAGGCTATGGGAACCTAAGCCCCAGCACTGCAGCTGGTCGAATTTTCTGCATCTTGTTTGCACTCTTTGGGATCCCCTTGAACCTTGTCCTCATGAATGAAATCGGACAGCTGATGTTGTTAGGGGTTCAGCGTAGTGCCCATCACCTAGAGGAGATGTTTCACTGGAAGGTAAGCAATGGGGCTAGGCATACTGCACTCTTAAATTCGGGGAGAGAAAGAATACTGTCTAGTATTTTTGATCCTCTGACTAACAAGGACATACCTTCTTGGCCAAAAATGCAATAATGCTCAGGAATAACGGGAAATGAATAAATTTGGTTATGACAGTCCTATGAGGTGTCAGATAAGGTAATTTATTAGCTGATGGAACTTCTGTGATTAATGGCTTCCCTTCCAGCAAGAGAATGGCCAGAGCCTTAGAGCCATTAACAATCTGAGGATAGCTAGTTTGCTTATCAGTCATGGTTGGAATTACTTATTTAAGTTGCATGGGAGCATTTGTGAAATAAGCTCTAAAATGTATGATTTTTGGACTCAGAAAAGGATGGCCAATTTGTGTTGACTGAGAGAGCCACACGGTTTATTTTAGTGTAATGCTGTGACTATTTGTGTTCTTACGGAGCTTGATATCACCTTCAACTAGAAAATGAGCTTTGCTTTCCATGACATCTTTCCTGCAGTTCTTTGTGTTGTTGCTGTTGTTTTGTTTTACTAGATAAAAGCTGCCCTGCTGATGAAGACCTGTGCACTAGTAATGGGGTTGTTATTGTTCCTCCTGCTACCTCCCTTGTTGTTCTCTAACAAAGAAGGATGGACTTATGAAGAAAGTTTCTACTATTCCTTCATTACTCTCAGCACTATAGGATTTGGAGATTATGTGATTGGTGAGTAAATGTAATTGCTTTTACCTACTCAACATCAAAGCCAAAAATGCAGCATATGAAGTTCTCACCTTGGTAGTCTTACAGCACCAATAATCCACAAGTGTAATGACAAATCTGTTGTAGTAGGTGTTGTATAGATTGGAGAAGGCACTATTTCTGAGATAGGAATGCCATGTGTGGAAAAACAAAGCAATCATTTCTGTGTCAATGAGTAATCTTTCAACATTTGGGTGATCTATCTGTTGAGTGAGTGCGACACTGGACTGGAGTGCTGTTTTTTAATCACAGCAGTCACTGATCACTTGGCACACACCACTGCACTAGCAATGTTTAGTTTTAAAGATGCTACTCTGCATTACCATTAACAGAAAGTGAGCATTTCTCAGTTGAAACCCCAAATAAAACTTTCTAGAAGCAACTTTTGTCACTTAAACATAGACTATTAGGCACCAAGCACCATCTAGTTTTGGTTGCCAAAGCATTTTGTCAGAGGAAATGGGTTTGGACCTATGCCTAATGAATTTGCTGAAACACAGGACACACCTTTTTGATAAAGACATTAACTTTAAATTGATTATAGAAACACATGCACGCCTGGATGCCAGAAAGACAGACTAAAACATCTTAATAATGATTCTTTATTTTCATCTCTTTGTAGTGCTTGCTTGATGCTTGAACAGCTTAAAGGTGGTTAGCTGGTCTATAGTGCATCAAGTCCTGACTAGAGCTTGTCTAGATACACTTAAACTAGCTTGAATCATGTTAGCTTGGGCAAGGGTATCCAAATGGAGCTTAACAAAAGCTAGTCACTTCATTCTATAGATGTTTCTGAACTCTGCTGCAGCAAATTTCACTCCATTTCTGATTAATTTTGAAGCTCCTCTTTAGTATACTCTCTCACTTCCAGATATGCCTTCACCTATGCGGTAGCTTTGTACTACCATAAATGCATTGGTTCATATGGGAATAAGTGAATACATATCAGTGACCTGTAGTATGTAAAGACCAGACAATTTTGGCCTTACAATCTTCTTTGTAGTTTGTGACTCCGTATAAAACTAAGTGAAGCCAGGGCATGCATTCATGCTATATTTTGTGACTGCCACACCGTCTCCCCAATTAATGTGATCCCTGGCACTATTCTGGACCAGGTACAATTTGGGGAGTATCACATGTTGGCAGTAATGCTCATCGTCCCCTTCTGCTGCTCTGTCTTTGGTGAAATAAAAGCCAGACAATAGCACCTCAATTTGGAGTTATAAAACTGGCTGTAGAACACATTAATTAGTAATATTGATGTAGCTTCCCCTACTGGCTCTGAAATCCATTAATGTACAGTCAGTAAGCCCCTCTATTAGAAGCATTTTACTGTGTAGGTCCTAAACTGCTTCTCAATTTCTCCTCCCCAAGACTGCACCTATCAGATGATCTTCTAGGAAGACCAAATAGTCATTTTCTCTTATTTTCACATATTATTTAGAAGGTAAGAATTTTTATACCTTTTGAACCTGGCATTGGTGAAAGATGCTTGTTTGCAGGTTGAATATAATACTCTCTATGACACATTTCACCTTGTAATAGAAAGCCAGGCCAAAGAGCAGTTAGGACATAAGTGCTTGGTAAAGTCCAAGCATTTTTCAGCTACTAGTGGTAATCTCAGAATGCCTTGCAATCCCATTATATTGAAAATAAAATAAAACATTATGTATTAAAAACTATGATAATACAAAATCAGTGGGTGCAGTGTAGCTCCACTAACCAGTTACTACTTCCATAATCTTATAGACCCTAACAGTTCAAGGACCACAGTTTGGGACTCACCAGTCTTGGCAGGTGAGTCTAATTCTACGACAGCATAGAATTAGTACATACAACTGGTCACAGATGATAAACACCTAAATACCTGCCTCTGTGGATGTCCCTTATCAACCTAGTCCAATGTATAAGTTTCACTGAGACTCAGTTACAGGGTGTGAGCTCCAGGCTTATGGAGGCACTGTGTCATATATGTTACCTCCTCACACCCTGTCCCCAGAAAATCATGTGCTCTATAATATCTGTCATGCTGCAGGTATTCACTTGTAGATTTACAAACTTTTTTACAGTAAGGAAAATTAATAATGAGAACTGATAAGCAGTAGAGAAGAATCCATGCAGAGACTGCTGCAACTGGTTTGTACTTTGTGACTCTCTTGAGGTTTTTGATCATCCCATCCTGCTCTACAAACACAGCCCAGTCACTTCATAAGACTAAGCTCATTACTTTATTTTTGCCTGTATTATTATTTTTAGTATTGCTAAAGACATCATCCTAGCCTATAGAAGCCACTTAGCACTAAACACTGTGGGAATGCAAACCAAAATGTGACTCTGCTCCAAAGGGATCACTGACTTTAACTGAGCAATCAGACAACATGAACAGATAACATAATATAAAGCTGTCTTTAAAGAGAATTTACAAGCAGGAGGTGGACCCAATTTTTTACAGTTTGACAGTGACAGAACAAGGGGAAGTGGCTTTAAACTAAAAAAGGGAGGTTTAGGTAAGATGTTAGGAAGAAATTCTTTATTCAGGAGGTGGTGAGGCATAGACTGCCTGGAGGTGTTGTGGATGTCCCATCTCTGAGTTACTCAAAGCCAGGCTGGATGGGGCTCTGGGCAGCCTGATCTGATGGTTGGCAGTCCTGCCTGTGGCAGGGAGTTGGAACTGGATGATCTGTAAGGTCCCCTCCAACCTAAGACATTCTATGATTCTAAGGTTTGGCTGTAGTCAGAAGTTTTTGGACTGCTTTGTGTCCCTTCCCTCACTTATGCCAGGCTCTGCTTGCAGGAAACCCCTGTTAGATACTAATACAATATTGTAAAGCTGAGCAAGTGATGCATGGAAAAAAAAAGAAACTGTACTCAAAAATGAACTTATAAACAGCTCTGATTTGGGGTTTATTTTTTTTTTTATTATCTTAATAGTTCTTGGTCCTGCGTAGGTAGGAATTGCTAATATTACATCATATTTATCTTCTTTCTCTCTGCTTTACTTGAAATGCCTTCTTTGAGGCAGTCTTCAGTCAATGTCAAAATGTTTGTGATGATTCTTTTGTAGGGATGAACCCAGACCGCACCTATCCAAGCTGGTACAAGAATGTAATCTCTCTTTGGATCCTCTTTGGGATGGCCTGGCTTGCACTGATTATCAAATGTTGCATCAACTTACTGGAGAGCTCCAGTGACTTCTGTCAGTGCAACAGGAAGAGCATAGAGTTGTTAGAAGATGTAATGGATGATGACAAAAAGAATATGACAGGACTTCACAGTGTGGAGACCTGCAATGGCAAAGACACAAAAGCAGGAGGACCAGGTGGATGTCACACCCACACAGATTCTACGGAAGCACTTTAGAGGAGAAACATACCTTTGGTGTCTCTCACATTCCAATACACCAGAGATCACTGCTTAGAAATGTGGGAATGGAGCTGCCCTGATGATCACACTGGGATGCAAACCTGCTTGTTGAGTGTGAAATGCTTCTATTCTGAATTGAAAATGGCAGCAAAGTATCTCATTTGTAGCACCACCAAGAATTACCAAGAAGACTCTTGACCAACCAAAAGTAGATTTTTTTCAGAGATAATACCTACATTCCCACCTCAATATGAGGTAAACTTTGATATCTGCACCAGCACTGCCCACTGTCTTTTTCTTTGCAAACAAAGTTTGTGTAGCCTCCAACTGTATATATGGTATTTTGCAAATATCACAACTAGAAAAGGAAGCATAATTTAATGCAGAAAGCAAATTGTATGTTGCCAAAAGGCTCAGTGGAAAAATATTCTTTTAAACAAGCTGGCAGTCACTACAAATGAGCACCATCACTATGTGTTTGTGCTTGCCAAAGGTGGTAATATATTTTTGCTATCAGATCATTTGTACATGAATAGCAATAAGGCAGAGATTGTAGAGGTGCTTAATAGAAATTGAATGTTTCGTTTTGTTAGGGAAATTTCTACTTCAGAGGTCCACTAATATTAAAAAAGATAGTAGGCAGTTAGTTGTTTTTTTTTTTTTATTCCAAAACTTATGCAGGATCATTCTTTGAAAGTATTATGTAGACTAGATATCATCTAAATGCAACATTTCACTTGGATGCATTTTTTTTCTTTTTCACATTTTGGAAGTTGGAAAAGGAAGAAGAGGCAAGAGCTGCTTTAATCAAAAAACAAACTTAAGTGCCTTCAACATGATCAGGAGAGATGCTCTTATCAGGAGCTTCAGATGACATAAATGAATACTGTATTTGCTTGTATAGGTATTTTTATAAGCACAACTGTAATGCAAAGCCTGATCATTTGGCACTTCTGTCAATCATGAACTGAAAAGTTTTTAAAATTTCCTTAAGTTCTCAGAAATTTTGAAAAATTATGCCATTTTAAGAGGCCCAACAGCGTCTAACTCCTGCTGCCATTCATATACTGATATCTGTCTTGTTTTCTTATTCCTGTTACGGTATTTGCATCTGAGAGCAAGTAGCATGACTAACTTTGAAGGCTTGACCACAGGAGTAAACCAGAAGGAAGCATTTGGGTGAGCCTAAGCTTCTGCATTGGTCCAAGATCTTCACATAGAGAGAAGAAAGTGGACAGAAAGCATAAGCTGTTGGATCATGATACCCATGAATTAGGAATATACACAACTGGGCTTCCAGCAATGCAGTGAGTGAAAACTTTGGTCTTCGGGAAGACAAGTTCTGGAAAAGTTATCATGAGAAAAATAGTTTCCCAAGTATGCCAGTCTGAGCTTCAGTATGTTGTGGAATTGATTGTAAAAGAAAATGCAAGAAAGGAATCTGCAAGATCAAACTAAGACTGTCAGCCTTTTTGTCATCAGCTTTTTACCAACTCTGTAGTGATAAATGTTCTCTCAAGTACTTTTTCAATAGACAGCAAGAGGTAAGAAAGGAAATTAGCTGAAATTTGAAGTTGTAGTTGGGAAATTGATGCACAATAAATAAAACTGATTTTTTTTAAAAAAACATTGGATAATTCCTTAACAGCTTTCTGCGAAATCTTTTCTGCTCTCCTATGTTTGTTCTCCTGTGTTTTGTTTTGTTTATTTTCACTGTTGGATGTGTACAATTTAGTTTTTACTAATGTTCATAATGGGTTAGCCCACAGTAAGGCTGAAGTACAGTTTTTAAACCTAAGTGAGTCACAATTGTACAACATAAAATGTGATACTCTTTTGCATCACCTTCCAGGTGCAAAACTCAGCAAATATTTCATTTCATAAAAGCCAGATGTCCAGGGGATAATAGGAGTTTCTGCTGTCAAGGATGAGGATGGCTGTGCTAAATCTATTTAAGGTTTAATTTGGAATGTCACAGCTCTGGGGATTTTTACCAACTCTGCTCTTGCATTAAAAGACTTAGCTTGAGAAGAGTTTCCTCTATTCAATTTAAATGTCTATTATATTAATCCCATGTATTTCAAAACTATGGTGTGTTTATAGAGTGTGAGTGAGGTGTTCTAAAGTTCTCTAGAGATTTGGGCACCCCATGCCTACTGAAGTTTAAACAGCTGCATGCCTTAGGACAGCTAATATCGCTTCTGAGAGCTGAAAGGAGAAAGAACTTCAGAAGTAGTCCTGAAAAAGGAAAAAACATTCTTCATAGATCTTAGTGCTTCCACTGTATGTTAGGGTTCATCAACAAACCTAAGTATGGGGCTGAGTCTCAACATGATTCAATATCTGTACCAGCAAACCTTACTGATTCACTTCCTTCCTCAGCTGTACTGATCTATTACCCAACAGCTTCCCCATGAGCGTAGTCCTGCCACAAACTCTCTGATACAGCATACCTAGTGGGAGGAGGCTTACCTGAACTGCTAATTGATCTTCCAGAGCTCCAAGCTGCCTGCTTGTGTCCTAGACCACATAAAAATATGAAATAAATTGGCCAAACAACACCCTGCCTGAGTTCTCTGGTGGCCCAGTAGCATGTTGTCATTTATAAGTAACCTTTCATTGACAGTTAATTGGCTGGATTATTCCCTCTTATTCCCCACAAACTGCTGTGCATCTCCCCTTTCTGTTCTTTATGAAACTGTGCTGTGGTTAAATGACATGGATGAATTTGTTTCCAGAGGGGTGAGGAGAAAATGGAATCTTGCAACATCACAAAAACATCATCACCAATGTGTCTACTCTACCAAAATATGAAAGGTTATCTACTCAAGGGTAAAACAAAGAAAACAAAAGCATGGTGCTGTTATCATTCTTGTCATGGTGAACCTTCAGTCTCCCGTAATCTCCATTGGAAAATTACCAACGCTTCTTGATTATTATTTTTATAACATCTCTTCCTGTTGAAATAAAAATGCAATTTCCATTAGTGATTTCAGGCTAGGCTTTCACTTTCACAGTTATTCAGTAGTGAATTCTTCCCTGTTATTCTGTGTTTTTCTTATAGAAGAAGAGGAGATGGAAACAGGTTTGATTAGTAATAGTAGTTATAAATATTTATGTAACATCAATATCCAAAGATTTTTTCACAATCACAAAGAGCATAATGCCCTTCTGACCTTTGTACAGTTTCCCAGGAAATGGGCACTTTTAAGAAACACCTTTAGCTGCTCCCCCTTCCCTACCCACCCCCCACCCCCCCCTTCAAAGAACAAATCCTGGTTTCAGCCTCTTTTTCATGCTGGCTCTTTCAGTTGGTCCAAATTAGGTGTTTACCCTCGGGGAGAGTTATGTCCAGAAATATGTACTAAGATGCTACAGCAATATAGTAAGACTGATCAGAACTGTGTTTCTAATAATCTAGTTGACTACAGTATTTTAAGATCCTTATATTAAAACAAAAAGCAGAGCTCTTTTTCTATGCTAATCTCTGGGTTAAAAAAAGAAAACAATCTAAGATGTTATTTTTCTCTCCATTGTGGGCTGATGAGATCTTATCTTACAACTGATATCTTATCTTAGAGCTGATATCCAGCTCAGGTTAGAGCTAAGACTGTCTGTCCTGGAAAAGAAAAAGCTCAGGGATGTCTAATCAATGTCTACATGTTTCAGAAGAGAAGGTGCCAAGCAGATGGAGCCAAGCACTTTTCAAAGGTGCCTGGTGCCAGGACAAGAGGCAATGGGCACAGACTGGAATGCAGGAGGTGCCAATTGAACATCAGGAAGCACCTTTTTACTGTGAGGATTATCAAGCCTTGGCACAGGTTGTCCAGAGAGGTTGTGGAGTCTCCCTCCTTGGAGATGCTTGTAAGTCATATAGATGTGGTATTGGACAATTGGCTGTTGTGACCCTGCTTGAGCAGGGGTTGGTCCGGATGAGCTCCAGAAGTTCCTCCACCTCAGCTGTTCTGCATTCAAGTTCAATCCATCCTGCTGCTCATAGTCCATGACTGTTACTGGTTTGCAGCATCTCTTTAAACATACAGCTCGCACTCACAGTAGAGTGAGCATTTAGTTTGTTCCACAAATAAATATTCTAGCTGATAGAAGAGGGGAATACAAAGAAAAACATATTTTTCAATATATTTATGTTGTGGCTCAGAGAACATGTGCTTGGTAGTATCTCTCCTTGAATTAATCTTGTGTGAAATGTATGACTCCAAACCTATTGCTAGAAAATAAGGTTATTTCTCATGATTTCTTGTTCAGCCTTCTTTCTAGTCTTATTTCTGCCTGATTGCTCTAGCTCCTGAGGGAGTTCCTTCACCATTCCCAGGCTAAAATCAGCCCTGCTCCTCTTGCTTTTCTTCTGTGTGCTCAGACTCTTCTGTGCTACACAGAAGGAAATATGTCCTGCAGTCCTCTTCTGTGCTGTATCATGACCAGCATAGAATTAAAGGCAAAGAGAAGGAGAGAAGCAGAGGATCTGCAGGATTTTCTGCTCCAACACTCTTAATGAAATGAACTTTGGGATCCTGACTCTGGAGAGTGTTGAGATCTTCCCATTTTCTGCATGAGCTTTGAGCTTCTGCTCTTCTCCACAAGAGGAGCCAAACAACCTCAGATATCCTGGTTTTAAAGTCTTCGTAATTTGCTGGAAAGCTACAGCTTTTTGTCAGATATGCTCCAAGATCCTTTAGTCTCTGGAAAACCTAAAAGAATTAGCAATACTTAAAGGCTTCAGTTAAAGCCTGAAGAAAGGTTGTAGTGATGGATTCACACACGTTTGTCTTCCTTCTGAGACAGCATTAGCTACAGTAATCCGGGAAGTACTGTACTGCAAGCAGTGATCTGGGAAACTGAGAAAGAATTAGTCTTTTCCTGGGGACCTCTCTGGAAATCCTGCATCTCTGGATGTTTTATCTGGCTTTTGTGTTATTTTTGTTTTTTGGTTTTTGGGTGTTTTGTTTTTTTTTTGTCAATGATACTGTTACCTCTTGCATTCAAAACTGAATTTTTCAGCTGAATAGCAATATTAAGGCTTGTCCCCAAATCCCAGGTGAGCACTTTCTGAGTAGCTAGTAGCAATTTTAAGAAGGTCTGTAGTCCATTAATAGGGAATGTGTCACCTGTGGACATATTGCCACTGGAGGGCCCTAATGATGCCAGCTGCAGTACAGGACTGTGGAGTGTGGTTGAGCTCTGCTGCATTCGGTTCAGTTATGTTAGACATGAATGATCTGTTTTAAAGAGTGAAGCTCTACATACAGATGGAACTGTGAAATGTCATTACACAAATAAATGACGCACAGAAAAAGAAGTCAAGCTGTGCAGTCTCTGGGTAGGTGAGCAGGTTTTGCACCTATAATCTTGCACACTGCTTGCTTCACAATGAGAGGGAGCTGTCAGGGACTGCCAATAGGAGCCGTGCTCCCAGCCTTGCCCTGCCTTATCACATTTCTAAGCAAAAACAGCTGATTAAGCAGGGTCTGGTGGACTGACCTGACATCTAGTTTCAGATCTGCTTAGAATGGGATCATTTGTTGATTCATGCTCAGTAACAAATACAGGCGCTAGCTTTCAAGTCTGCAGCCCCGGACCCCTTTGCTCAGATGGGCACTGGTTTTGTTTAACAGTATGCTAATTCTGTGGGTCACAGCACTTCTAATCTGAGCAATGAGAGATGTGGAAACTGCATACAAGGAGACGCATGCAGTAAAGTAGGAGCAGATTTTTCAGTGCAGTCAGTTACGTGTATGGGAAACAGTGAAGCTGAATGAGGGCAATATATGATCATATTGTAGGAACATGCTGCTGGACTAATTCAAACCTTATCTGCACAAGGAAGTGTTTGCCTGTTCACTTCAATTGGTATCGTTATACCAGGAAACCCTCCTATCAAGTATAATGCTCATACTACTTTTCCCAGGGAAATACAGGCTTATCTTATTGGAATAACTCCTGCATTCACTCTCTGCACCAGCACAGTTAGGCTGGCAAAACGTGGCAGAAGACTAAATTCTCTCTTCAGCCTTTTATCTCTATAACTCAGCTTTGACACTCTTAAGACAGAATTAATTTTCCCTATCCTGTAGCTCCCAGAAATACCGGCAGAAGTCACTGCTTAAGATTTGTACAATTTTTTCAGAAATAAGACTGCATAGATCACACAAGGCAACTCCAGCCTTGCCTTATCCCATCAATTTCTAAATCTTCCTTTCTGTTAAAACGCTTTTGTTTAACTTGAAAAGACTTTATAATGCTGCAGATTTATTTATGTTAATGATCAGGCAAAGAATTCATCTCATCTGATATTATGCATCTATATATAATTTGATCAAAGGCACTTTAAAGGTATGATTCATCCAACCCACCTTTAAGATAAGACAAATTTCACCTGAACAATGTATATAACTTTCAGGCATTTCTATAGGCAGCCTTGGCATCATGCACATTTAGGAGATGGATGAGTCACATTCAAGAGATCTTTACTCACCCTGCATCTAAGCCACCAGTTATTCTTCTTCCATGTTGATGGAAATAGCGCAATCACTTTTGCTTTTATTTTAGGTCACTTTCACATTTTGATGTTCAGGCACTTGGCAGCTGTGTGATGTTTGATTTGCAAAAACTCTCAGAGGAAAGCTCAGCTCAAGCCAATCATTTTCTTTACAAAAATACTAAGACAAACTTTTTTTTTTTAACCTTTATCTTTTATTTCCTTTTTTGCTTTTTTTCTACTTTTTCACCCCAAAATGTAAGCTCTGGGCTCAAACTACTTATCCCTATACCTTTATAAGTTTGAAAATCTTCTCTTTCCACACTGGCATTTTTATGTGGTTCTGTGCCTGATTTTGTTGGAGGTGGAAGTTTTCTAAAACACTTCTTTAACAAGGCAATCATTTGGGAAGCTGGAAAACACATGATCTTGTCTATGCCATGCAAAACAGGTGTATGGACTAAAGCTGACCTTTTCCTTCCCAGCTTGCCATGCACATAAACACTTTGGAGAAACTAGATTTGGCTTAAAAGCAGTAGGGCTGTTTGGAAAGACCCTTCTTCCTATTTGCTCTGCACTCTGGCTATCATGCTTGTGCTGCTAGCTGCAATACTGCTGGTGTAGGCATCTTTGCACCCAGGATGCACTGTGTGCTGCAGACACTGTAGCGTGCATCACTTGAAACTGCTGTCACCCCCATTCATTAGCATGCAACGGAGAGTTCTGATCTTAAGAGCCTTCATGTGCTCCTAATGTTCTTTATGAGGTACCACAGGGAAGGTTTAACGTCTGCACTGACTAAATTGATTAAAAAAGCCACATGTCACTTCAACCACTTTCCCACTGAGAAGTTCCCAGTTAAACTGTGGCTATCTCAGAGGATGTTTGCCGACCCAATCTGTATACTTCCTCCCTCCCTCATAAAATCTACAGATTAAGATAATGGAAGGACACGAAATACACACCGGATTCCTGATGGGATAACTGAGCAGATTATAAGTATCTTTGGACAAT